CACCGTGATCCACAGCCGCCTGCTGGACAGCGTGCTCAAGGTGAGGATCAGATCCATCACACGTTATTTAGTCCCTCGAGAAAGGTAGGTCTTTTTGTAGAAACATTAAAAGTGTAAGTTAGAATGGGCAATACAAACAATTACAAATATATAGAATATTTTTATATGAACATAAAGTGTTAACATAAGAAGTTAAAGTTAAAATGTGCAATATAAAGATAAAATATATAAAATATAATACTGATATTTTAATTGAAATAAGCAAGTAAACTAAAATGTCCAGTACAATTGAATACAGTTATATATTATCATAAGAAATTAAATTGAATTTCAAATAAGAAACACAATAAAATATCATATTTGAAGATTTTAACAAACAATGTGCAAATTGTACTAGAGTATATAACACATATATTCCAATACTGTGCTGTATTAGTTTAGATACAGATATTTATGCTGAATTGCAGAGTTTAAAGGGTCCGAATCAAAATCAATCCCCTCTCCCCCTCCTCCCTTCAGGCCACGGTCTCGTTCTTCGACACCACCCCGATGGGTCGCATCCTGAACCGTTTCTCCTCAGATCTCTACACGGTGGACGACAGCCTGCCCTTCGTGCTGAACATCCTGCTGGCCAATGTGTTCTCCCTGCTGGGCATGCTGGTGGTGATCAGCTGGGGTCTCCCCTGGGTGCTGCTGCTGCTGCTGCCCCTCGCTCTGATCTACCACCGCACGCAGCGCTTCTACAGGCACACGTCCCGAGAGCTGAAGAGACTGAGCAGCATCACGCTGTCGCCCGTCTACTCGCACTTCTCCGAGACGCTGAGCGGCCTGGGGACCATCCGGGCCAGCGGCAGCTCATCCAGGTGAGAGGGGGGGCTCTTCACAGCCTGAGTAACACTTTCATCTAACTATGAGCTCGTATAGTTTCCATCAGCAACTTAAATACCTCTATGGATGGAAAAATAAAAAGTATATTGATAACAACTTTAAAATTATTGTTAATAATAACAATAATAATCAATAATACTAGTTTACTTATTATTAACATTAATAATAATACAACGACAATAAAGAAATATATATGCAACAAATAAATAAGTACATTTTAGAGGGGATGCTCCAAATAAATAAGACATCAAGAAACTGAGCGTTTAGAGAAAGAGTGCGTGTGTGTAATACCTCTCACTACCACCGGGGGGAGACAGAGTGTAATGTCTCACTCTGATCACGGTCTCAGAGTCAGAGTGGTTATGTTGTTGCAGGTTTGAGGAGGAGTTGTCTCATCGTCTGGAGCAGAACCAGCGCTGTTTGTTCCTCAGTGTCGCCGCCATGCAGTGGCTGAGCATCCGCCTGCAGCTGATTGGTGTTGCCGTGGTTACGGGCCTCGGGGTGATCGCCGTCGTGCAGCACCAGAACAAATCTGTGGACCCAGGTGAGTCTGCTGCACTGCATTGATTGAGATGTTTACAGTTTAGAATTGTTTATATTTATTTTTTATTTTCTTTCCTCAAAGTGTTTTTTCTTTAGTTGGTTAATTAAACATTTACAGGACCCAAATTATAATCAGCCCCTCTCCTAACCAAGTTACAGCATCACAGTAGTCCTTAAACTAGCCTTACAAATTAAGCTGATTATGTTACTATCCTGTATGTATCAGACCTAAGTGTATTTATAGGTTCTACCACTCTCCATGCTGCAAATATCTGATTTATAGCGTAAAAACCATATGTGTATTGTGTTATATACCTTTCCTCATACTGTACTGTATATAATGTTTATATCTTACTATGTATTCCCGTACATATATTAAATTACTCTACTCCAAATGCCACTTTTAGTCAGATGCTCAACTGCTTTTTCTTGGTTCAGTACTTGTATTTTTTAATTTTTATAACCGTCTATCCTGTATCTGCTTTATTTCTACTGCATTATATACCTTACCCTATACTTCCCTGCATATAATGATGATATCTCACTCTTTATTCCCATACATATGTAAATATACTTGGCACTTAACCGCTTTTTGCACATCTGGTTATATGCTAAACTGCATATGGTTGTCTTGGTACTTTTCCTCTATGCAACTAATGTAATGTAATCTGTGTGTCTCCAGGTCTGGTGGGCCTCTCCCTGTCCTACGCCCTCTCCATCACCAACCTGCTGTGCGGTCTCATCGACAGCTTCACTCAGACGGAGATGCAGCTGGTGAGCGTGGAGAGGACGGAGGAATACTGCAGCGGCCTGCCCACTGAGCCCCAGCAGCACCACTCACAGGTCAGACACACACACACACACACACACACACACACACACACACACACACACACACACACACACACACACACACACACACACTGAACCCCAGCAGCTCAGGTCAGACACACACACGCACACGCATACATACATACATACATACATACATACATACATACATACATACATACATACATACATACATACATACATACATACATACACACATACACACATACATACATAGGCCTGTCAAGATAATTAATTTTGTTGGACGATAAATTTTTCTGGAAATTATTGCGATAAACGATAATATTGTCGGCACCGTTTTAAGACCATTTTAGACATAATGATAATATATAATAATAATTCAAGTACATCCTTTCAAAAATAACTTTTTATTGAACATTCAACATTGCAAATGAAATGTGAAATAATATTAAAATATATAAATTATATATAATAAATAAAACAAATAAATTAAATTATAATAAATTAATTAAATCACACACAACCAAAACAATAAATTAAATAGAGTCAGGCTGGAAAACAGAGCTCTCTCGCTCTCTCTCTCTCTCTCTCTCTCTCTCTCTC